TAAATCAGGATGACATGAATATTTGAATCTGAATTGAAGTACCAATCAAAGACATTGTAGTATATATCAAGGGGGTAAGATCATCTTTCTATTAAAATGATGTATGAATATGTACCATGGAAGAAAATGTAAAAGAATGAGAGTAGTATTGTGGTGAGAAATTGTGCGATTGTTATCTATGAAACAAATATATTGTTAACTGTTTTTGTACTTTAATTGTAAGGACTTCAGGCAAAAATCTTTAGAGATATTTACTGTAGAAACATAGAAAGTCAAACCATACTTAAATTGTTTATCTAGTGATCTTCAAATTAAGGTACCTTCAAATGAGGAGTATTGTCATTTTTTCAGTACAAATAATTTTGTTCTTTGAAATCTATTTATGTACATAATCCACATCGATTATCTGAGAGAGACCAATTTTGAAGATATGGATATCTGTCCAAGAGTATATTGGCTAAAATTGATTACCCTGTTTATGTGTAGTTGTAGTCAAAAAGTTGCCTTATCATACAAGTCCTTGCTTTTCTTGCGCTCCCCCCTCGACCTATGTACCTGTAAAGTACAAATTTACACCATGGATGGTGTGCAGCATTTTTGTGTAGTTGAGCTGAGCTAATGTGTCTAGACATCATTAAAGAAAACAACATTTAATCACTGAAAATATTTTCCATACTTTGGTTTGTAGTGATTGCAACTCACTTTGTGTTAAAAGCACCACAAAGCTGATAGAAGTGAAACTATAAGCGATTTTACGCCCTTTCATAGTACACTGGTGTAATCGTTATATTCTGTGGTGTCCATGCAAGTAACCTGATTGGTGTATGTGGTGAGCGTGACTTTTGGTTGTAAGATTTATTGACACCTGATCGAAATGGATGAGTAATGTTGTAATAAGCAATGTCAGAAAAAATGTAAATATACACAATAAACAACATGATGAACATGTTGAACAGAATACCACGTTTTTTGTTTTATCATTATGTGTGAACAGTTGTTTTGAATTAAACAGTAAGCATAATATATCTTATTAGTTTGAACTTGGAAGGGGTGAAAATTTCAGACAATATGGGCAAGATAAGCCTTGGTTAGAACTCGAGAAAACCCATCACCAAAAAAATTAATTTAAAACAAAAAGAGCAAGAACAACAAAATCAAAACAAGAAGTAACCGCCCCCATAAAAAAACAGAACTACGAAAAAGAAAGAAATGAGTCGAGTTGGTGTTTGGTTTTTCACTGAAATACGCGCCCGTAGTAGAAGACGGTACAAAATTGGACAGAGACAGAGGCTCTCTGGAAGAGGTTGACCTCCCGTGATTCAATGGAAATTTAAGACTGGCTTCAAGATCATTTTTTTTTCCTTTTCAGTTTGTAGGGGATAACTTGCCAGTTAACACCCCCAAAATAGCAGTAAAATTATGCCCTCAGCTCTGAATGTAGCCGCCCGCCTCTATGCAAAATAGCCCACAGGTTGGAGGCTTTTCTGTGAACAAAATTTACGAAACATTCCTCTAGTTGAAAGCCAAAAGTTCCAAATTTGTAATTTATAGAAACATGTCTTCAGTTAGTCATGATTATAGCACCTTTTTTGTAAATGACCCAATGGGTTCACAAATATTCGAATTCATGACTGTACGTACGCGTAAGTTAGCATCATGCGCATTGATCCCCAGTACAGTCTGCATGACTTTGGTGGAGTACACATTCTGGCTCTGTTGGTTTGCCATATTTCAACGTACTCGAACAAACATACATTTCCGCCATTTTTTAAAAAAGAAATGTGCACGTTCACGTTGCCCAAGATTGTTTTCCAGTGATTTGCGAGTACTTTTGCCACTCGAATTTACTCAAATGCAGTTCTGTACAGTACTCCAACAACTGATACAACCTTGAGGTATGTAAATTTTTCCTTGAATGGTGTTGTGTTGTCTTACTTAAGGTGAATCGTGCAATGGCCCAGTTTTCGGACGGCGCACGTGGTCATTCCCATTTGGTTGCGCCTACTCTACCCCCAGACTGGGGTCAGTCTACCCCCAGAACTGTAGGGTCCGACGTCCGCCCCTCTCCCCCACGAACCCCACAGAAAATGAGCCTTTTCCGCCATAGCCTCTGCATGAAGTTTAACATGGTACGAACAGGGATTTTATTATTCTTGTTGTATACCCATAAAAAATGCTGCTCTATTTCCCCCAAGAGTTCTATGTAAGATAGGCCAGGTTGGACGATGTCTGTCACGTCTAGGCCTACATTCATATGACATTGCATTGCGACTAACGTTTAAGAGTTTCGCAGAATTTCCTGCAAAATACATTGTTCGCAGGCATATTTAGTAATTTCAACACAGCATTTATTTATGGAATTCAGGATAGGCCTACATGTACAAGGTGCTTGTCAATGACATTTTGAGGTGTCTTCGTCAGGTAAAAATGTGAGAAAAACTGTTTAAAAATATTTCGCATAGTACGAGGACTTTCATACGGTGGACGTTAGTCGCAATGCAATGTAGACGTCGTCCAACCTGGGCTATAGCCTAGGCCCCTATGTAAGATACATGTAGCTTAATGTATATACACTGTACCAGGGCTTGCCCTTTATTTTTCCTGACAGTAGCCCGCTGGGCTAGTAAATTGTGATTTTTTACTAGCCCGCAGAGATTTTTACCAACCCATGAAATGTGTGAAAAAAACAATTAAATTAGGTTTTTTACTCAAGAAGGTTAGTCCACCAAGACGTTTCTATCAACCGCTATCACGTGGGGTGATAGCGGTTCATGGGTAGACTGGTTCCCGTTCCCTACTCAATCACCCGGCATGATTGTCCAATGAGGGGCTTGCGATCAGTGGTGCGACAAAGTCACTTACGAACCGGATTGCACCAGTCTATGGACACAGTATCGGTTTTTGGTATCTGGTTCCCAGTACGAATTGTATGTTAATTATATTGGTCATGTATAGAGATCACTGACTACTGGAGAAACTATCGTTGATGCGTTGGTGATAGGTACTAGGTACAATGTACACGTAGTCCCAGCACACAATACGGGATTCCAGGTGCGAGTCAGAAGCAATATTTATTTGATTCCAATAAAATAAAGTTACATTCATGACAGACAAAAGGTAAAGATTTGAAATCAAGACTTTGTTTTATTTTCTTTAATCACATCAGAAAAACATGGAACGTGTACATACATTGTATTTTAACTAGCCTGCCGAAAGACTGAGGGAAGTGTTTTGACTTGCCTATGAATGTTTTCACTCACATTTGGCTAGTGGGTGACCGCTAAGGGGAAACTCTGCATACCATGCCGTTTTCCAAAAAAAGGTGCAAATATTTCCCGAACTTTGTCCGAAAGTCATGCAGTTCACATGTGTATACTTGCGAAGACGAGCTACGACCAAATGGTTGACTACAGCTGTGATTGATACACAAGACATGGAACTTGGCTGCAGCCACTTTCTGTGTCCTGTTAAACGTCATGCAGAGCCTATGGTGAAAAAGGGTCATTTTCTGTGGGGTTTGTGGGAGCGGGGTGGACGTTGGACCCCACAGTTCTGGAGGTAGACTGGCCCCAGTCTACTGTACTGGACTCCCTCAGTTTCAGTTCAGTTCAGTTCACTTTTAATATTTTCAACATAATATTACTCCATAGAAACAGTTTCACAAAGTGTATTGTGTATATATACTGTATGTCCTGGGCCCCGCAACGGTCAATCCAAAAAGTGGAGACTCCACGAAAATGCCTCCAAAGAAATCCCTTTTTCGTGTATGGATCACTCACAAGTACATGTATGTTAGTTACGATCAAGCGCTAGTTTTATTGGGCCTCCAGTCGCTTTACCACAGACGGACGAGTTTGTGTGAAGAATTGCTCTTAAGGCCTATATAAGTCTGATAAATTCAGTCAGTGGTTCCCTACATCAAATTGAGTCACGGGATGGCCCTCAGATCTTCCCGAGTTATTGATGAACATAGCAGCGCAACTAACAGATTTTATAACAGCCTTGTACCATATTTTGGACGAAATTTAAACCATTAACCTAGACTGGTGGACATATTCTTAATGTTCGTTTGGTTTTTTATCATATAAAAACATATATAATATTCATATGAATATTGTGTGTGCTTTTAAATATGAACACCAGGTCCAATTGCAACTCAATGAGCAATTAACTTGCATCTAGTAACTAATATTTGTCTTTCATGATTTTCATGAAGTATTGAGTTAGGCAAATGGAATGGTGGGAAATTTTAAATTTAAAACTCTTAAATTTTTATCCCCTTTTTCTTAAGTTAAGTGTAAGATTTGTCTTTCCTTAAATACATTTAAAATATGTATTTTTAAAAAAAATGTTAATCTAGTATTATACCTGTATGTATCCACCGTACAATTTAGCCTATTGGCTACAAAACGAGATGGAAATAAACCAGTAATAGTAATAAACTCACCACATCAACCAACAAATGTATTACTTTTAATGGGGCGATTTCAAGTTTGTAGAAGTCTGTGAAATTTTAGTTTTGATTTGGGCCATTCGTTTACTACAGTGATTAACTCCAGATAGTTGACCAATGCCAAACACAGTCGGAATCTGCTTGGTCTTGGAACCAGACAACGTGTACACGTACAAGCTGTAAAATGACACCTCTTGCCTGCTGATCCAGGCGATTTGAATATGAACCCATTAGATCTGGTCATTCTCCTAATCCTTTCTTCACATCAACTAACACCTTCCCTGTTCTGTCTCTCTGTCTCTCACTGGTATTTTCGCCAGAGTAAAAAAGTGATTAGATGTATACTACTTTTCTTTTTACTCCAGTATGAGCCACTTACATGTACGTCATTGAGGCACCTACTACCACAGACTGGAGAAATAGCCATGGCATGTTAGCTTCTTTTGTGATAGTGTTCTGCAGTTGATCAGCATCACAGAACCAGCTTTGTAAAGGTGAGATTGGCAGATTGTCACCCCACATACTGTATCAAGTGCCATTAGAGTTTCCCTTCAAGTTAACTTGCCTTTCAACTTAGTTAACTTTGAAACCACCTCTTGACTTGTGGTAAATTACATTGTGAAATGAAAGAAGTGTTTTGTTTTTATCGGTCAAGGCCTGTCACCCAAACTATTTTAGCTGTGCCCTCACTACAGTAAACCTGTTCAGTACAGCTGTGCCTGAGCTGGAAAGCTGTAAATCTTGTCACCAAATACATACATGTATGTCCCACAAGGGTAATAATTTTAGCCAATCTATCTCAGTTGATATTTTTTCATTTACCGTTAGTATTCTTTTTACCTTCCTTTCGATACATGCACAGAACTCTTGCCAAGTGTTGACGTTCATGAATCAACATTCAAGAAAGAAGAATTCTTCAGCGACACTGGAGGAGTCACTGCAGGCCAATACAAGTTGCTGAAGGCCACTACAAGTTGCTGAAGGTCACTACAAGTTGCTGACCGTCTCTACAAGTTGCTGACCTTCTCTACAAGTTGCTGAAGGCCACTACAAGTTGCTGAAGGTCACTACAAGTTGCTGGAGGTCACTACACGTTGCTGAAGCTCACTGTTGGTCCAAACTGTCACCTGACCAAACAGATGTGCATAACAGCTCCCCCAGTGTGGATTTCTTGATGTACCGATGCTGATTTGATGATGTGGGCTATGGACATTTGGATTTCTTCACCAGCATTGCCATTCCACAGCTTGGACGTTGAGTAGTATGAACATGCACAGTTAGAGCAGAACTATATAGGGAATACCCTCAGACCCCCTTAGGTCCAACTCACTGGTACATACAGTAGTGTTTGGGCCCAGGAAACAGTCGTTTGTTGCCTGCAGTTCCATCCCTCTTTTGCTGCCAGTGACAGGACACTCAGAAGTAGATATGATGAAAGAATCAACTTGACTTTGGCAGATCGTGTTTTAAGTTTGGTGTAATTGATGCCAGTTACTCACGGAGGAGTTTCAGCTTTTACAATGAATGTTGTGACACGTACTTGTTTGTGCATTCATGTATGTGCCTGATTCGGCTTGCCTTGTGATGTCTCTATCATGATGCATCTACCAAATTGGATAATGTAAGAGCCATCCACACTACGGGGGAGAATGCAATGTCAGCCTTAGATCAACCCCATGTCTGAGATTGAGCAAGATGGAGAAGCACGCACTCCCTGAGACCTTGAGACCTATCCAGCAAGCACGATAACATCCTTGCATAAGGATTTTGTTGCACAGTTTGTCTGATGTTAACTCTCACAGGATGTATTGAGTGGTTTATGCAGGTCACCTACCTGTAGGTGACTGTGGAGATGACCTAAGTTTTGAACACATCTCCTCTGCCCATCTCCCCTCTGCTAATGGCAATGATGCATTCCAAGCTGGATTGAGAGAGACCCAAGTTTGTTGATGAGCCCTTTGAGACATTGGTTTGATGAATGATCCATACCATGACTTGCTTCAAGGAAGGAACAAAGTGTGTTTAGGAGATGCAACAGTTGCTAAGGAGATGCTTGGGATGCATGCTGCCACAGCCTACTGGGATGTGATGACATGAATGCCATAAATGAACTGACTCTTGGCAATTTGAGGCACATACTGCCATGGACAATCAAACACAGCATGGAACTTGAACTCTTAGAATATGTCAAAGAGCACTTGACCTCTCCTGTCTTGAGTGTCTTAAGGATCACTGAAGATTTTCTTGGTAGACATAATCATCCTTGGGTAGGCCTACATGTACTCTAACGCAGGTGTTTGAAGGATGATCCTTACAATTTGGCCAAAGCCTTTAAGTTGTGCTTTCCTAGTTAATGGGCACAATGTAATCGTGAGCTGAGACAAAGTGATACCTCAGAGTGACTCGAAATTGAATTCAGACTGTCTTGCAGACTTTTTCGTTGCAAAATGGGTTAAAAAATGAAAATGGTCCCAAAGTTTCAGGGCAGCCAAGGGCAGGAGAGGTGGAGTATTAGACACAGCTTGAGATGGAAAGACATTCACTTGAAAGGCAGTCAACAATTTCCTTGAAGACTTTCAATTATTTTCTTTCTTCTTTCTTATACCAGAATTCTAATTCGGCTCCACAGCTTTGTCCTTTTCTGTAAAATATGTTGAGGACAGTACCCTCTTAATCACTTGGGAAAAACAGAGAGTTTCTGTTGATGTTTATCAAATGTAAGTGCTCTAAACTTAAAAGAATGATTGATGTAATTGTTGACTGCCTGAAGGTGTTGTCAAAATGATACCTTAATATCAAGTCATCATCAAGGTAACTGGGCTCCTACAAAAGCCAGCTTGTTACTTCAGGGGAGTTTTGCTTTGGTTTGCATGGTTCCAACCAGCACATGTGATCTCCCATTTTTAAACAAATTATTATTAGTTGTATTCTACTTTCTTTTCACTTATCATCCTGAATCAGATTGAAATCAGTACCGCACCACTTGGACTTTCCTCACTCTGACTTCCATCACAGATCTAAGAAATCTCAATCTGAGAAATTTCCGCAGCAATGTCATCAATTTACACAATGTTATAGAATAATATTTATTGCTTGGCGATGTTCTTTGGCATCAAGCCAAAAATGTTTTTTGTGGGAGCCGGTTACATTGAGCAAAAGATAGTTGGAGGTGATTTTAACAATGCCTGTAAGGTAATACTTTCATTGGGTACAAGATTGGTCATTGGTCACTGAAGCGTATTTTTGAATTAGTCTCCGTGTATCCAATGCAGATAGAAACAATACTTGTTTTATTTTGCACTTTCCTTGGCTGTACCAGTAGTGCAAAATACTGGAGCTTGATATTAACATACACGAGGAGAGTAAGAATTCCCCAGAACTTGACCAAACTGGAAATCTACTAGAACTAATCTGAAGCGTGGCATACAAACAAACAAAAAGACAACTTTTTGCCAAGCTTTGTCACCATATTCGACAAACATCAAGGAAGGGAGACTTTATTTTGTTAATTGTATTTGTTTTTGCAAGTAGGAAGACTTTAACAAACTGCCATTTTTCATTTCTACTGATTCAGATTTCCTTTTTTGGGAGGAGGGAGGAGAGTTTCAAAAGCATCTCTTTTTTTTTTAGAGTATTCATGACTCATAAACTTATGGAATTGTTTCAGTATGAAATGTACAATTTTTGAATTACTAAGTCAAACAAAATCTAAACAAAAATTTGTTTTTGTTTTCACTTGGTTCATTTTTCAAGGTTACTCTTGATTACATTATCACAGTATTTTATCCTTTTTTCGTCTAGTGGTGCATCTGATACTAAATGTTAGTCTCCTTTTACCTGACCAATCTTGTGCCCAATATATTACGCTTGTCTCGTATAATCAGCACCAGCAAGTACCTCAAACATAAAAACATCCATTTAGTCTGACTCTTAATTGGCAGTTTTGAGGAAAAGTCACTCAATACCACAAATTTCTTCAGAATTCCAAATTCAAACTGTCAGTTAATGCATGTATATTCCTGTTTAGAGATTTTTGGCTAGAAGTCCGAAGGTTAGAGTGGATGTACATGCCAGTACATGGAGGCCTATTTCTTTCACAGGGGCATCATGGAGAATACCAAAA